ATTGTGGACGAAACAAGAAACATTTAGCTAAGTTTCAGGTTGCAGAAATGCCAATGTCACTGTAGTTTTCTGTTTCCCAAGTGGAAGGAATTATTTTTCCACTTTATCACTCCAATCCCTGACCAGGCTAAATACCATGATGGGGAGAGATAGGGGTGTGGTAATGAAACCATTTTCATGGCTCACTTACAAGCACTAGGCAGAGTTTTCTCATCTTTTCTGAAGGTGGGGTCTTCTGCTGTTACTGCTCTGATGGTTTGAACACTCTACCATTAACAAAAAAAACAAACAAAAAAGCCAAACCAAAGCCCCCCAGAAAACCCAAACAAAACACAACACAAAGGAAACAGTGAAATGCTCAGTATGAAGCTAGCTGTTTTTGAATGGCCTATACCTGAGAAGTTAAATGTAGTGATTTTATAGATCAGAACAATCTTTAATCTGTTGAATACACACCAACTCCTTAATTATGGATTTATTATTTTTTTTTTCCAGTTCTAAAAAGGCCCATACAAACCGTACCCTACTTATTTACACTTTTTCTTCTGTTTTTGTACAAAGACCACCAGAAAAGAAAATGCACATTGGCGTTATGCAAAAGAAGCAGAGCTGGACAGAGACATTACATTTAATTTGGCTCTTGGGAAGCAGAATCAATCCAGAGATTGCTAATGAGATAGAAAATCTCTCACTTTTAGGTCACCTGTTCATTCTAACTAACATTTTCATTGATGACAATCTTTACTTTCTCATAGCTTCTTCCTGACCTATGCTAGCGATATTATTTTCATTCTCCTTTCATTGCTGAGGACAATACCAGTTCTTGTTACTCTCTTTCAGTCTTAAAGTATGGCTGTCAAACAAGCAGAGCTATCAGAGTAGAAAAAAGTGCTTAAGGGTGATCACTGTATAATTTTGGCTTCATTCTGTTACCCAGCATTTTGATGTCCACATCACAAAACTTGTCCTCTTGCTAGCACCTCAGAAAGACAAGCAGACTGCTGAGAGGGAATGCCTTACTGCCCTACGGGTGTTTTGCCTTCTGGCAGTGTTAAGGTGTGCAAAGCAGAGTGTGGTGAGGCTACCCTACATCTATCCTGAATTTAAATGAAAGGACACTAGTTTACAGAGCTGTCATTTTTATGTGTTGTAACTTCTAAATTTATACTAATTTGTAAGAGAAAAATAAATACAGTGTATTTCCAGTTACCAAAGAGATATTCTGTGTGCTAGTTCCCAGTTGGCATATGTTGGCATAGCTCTGTTGCAGTGTAACTGCAGTTTCAAACTGTCTGAAAATATGTTGGGTGCTTATCTACAGAATATAATGTTATGAGTTTTCATCAGCTAAAGCAATATACATCAATCACCCTTTGTTACTACTAGAAATGAAGGTATTATAATCCAAGGAACTTCTTGCATAGATTTTAGAGAGTACTTTTCTCTGTTAATCACACTGTTTCTCCAGGGCATAGTTTTGGAGCCATTTCCTCAAGTAATGAAGATTTTTGTATTGAGTGCTAAAAATACTGCACTTTAGGTTGTATAATCAAGCTCTGGCTCTGCCTCTGGCTTGCTGGCTTTCTGAACAGTGAGGGTATACCATATTGAAGCAAGATTCCACTTAGGTCTTCCCCTGAGAATTTTTTCTATGTCCATATAAAACCTTCTTCCCTGAGCTCAATGAAAAACTAAGACAGTAGGCAAACATCTGGGACCTGAATTCTCTTAGACTGATCCCCATACACTCCTTGAGGATACAAGGAGGATATGAGGATAACCGCCAAGTACTTCTAACTTCAGTGCCTTCCCCAACTTGCTCAGCATAGATGAACTCTATAGTCCCTTAGAGAACAGTCCTACAGTGGAAAAATTTCCTGCAGCACAAAGAACAGTAAGATGTTCCCCCAAAGGTTTGGCAAAGTACATGTATGAGTGCAGTATCAATGATGACGCCATAAATCAGAAGTGGGTTTGCAATAGTTCACAGTTCAGCCAAGCTAAATGGGACAGTCAAGGTCTGAATGTTGATCACTGGGGTCTCTGCTATAAAGGTACCGACAAGCAAATTGGTCAGGGAAGGCGGATAAATTTCTACAGGCTGTTTTCTTGGCAATACAAATAGCATTTCTGATGACTGGGCAAAACTGATTCTGAGTGCTTTTACATTTCAGAACTGTTACATCTGGACGACCATTCTCTGCTGAGCTTCCCAGTGGATGCAGTACTGTATTTCAGATTGTTGTTAGTCTCAGAGGAAGAGAGATTTACCTGGGAGGGTAATTTTTTGTCTGTGACAAATAGTATGATGCATAAAAATGACCATTCCAAGATGAAAACTTGTTCTGGTTTTATGTACTTAACTCTGATGATCAGTTTTCTTTAAAGGCCTCCTGAGCTGGGTACTTTGAGGCACCAGCATATGTTGCTACAAATGATGTATTATGTTCTCTGACAATTACCTTTGATTCAAAACTTTAAGTGGGTTCAGCCTTAGGTTGTTAACTCTTTAGGAGAGATCTGTGACTGCTAATGGTAACACGCCCAGAGATTTTTTTCCATGGTATGTGTGTGTGTGAGGAAGTGGAGTGTGCAGTCTGAGGCTGCTTCACCAGTACATGGGTAGGTTCATGTGCTGTGCCAGGTATGGGTTACAATAAATCCACTCCTTGAGGTGCCCAAGGCAGCGTAGCATGTAACCTATAGGAATAATTAATAGTAATGCTTGACCTTCTGCAGCGATAATGGGCTCCTACTGTAGCTCTCCAACTGGTTTGCTCCTAAGTGGTTATGTGCTTGCTGATCAACGAAGACTCCCTTGGTGGAAGTCCTGCTCTCCAGGCATGATGAATGCAGAGAAGAATGATACAAATATTGCATAAGGGCTTTCTCTTGCCAGTTTCTGGTGTAATCACAAAAACAGTGTGATACATTGCCTCTTGTGTTTGTTCCAATCTGTTTTGGTATTTCTTTTGAGGCATGATTACTAATCAGCAAACAATGGTAATTGTGTTAATGTGTACAGTAATTGTGTAAATTGTGTAAATATAATAGCATACCACTGAGATCCCTTATAAACTGAATGTAACAGTGTCTGTAGCTTTAGGATTGGTACTACTAAAAGGAAGCAAGGGCTTACAGATAAACCTGGGAAAAAAAACACAAGGCAGGAATGAACACAGTGCAATAACTGGTTTTCCTATCATTGTGTGTACATGTTCTCACTGCATGCATTCCTTAGATGAATGTGTATAGTGGGTAATTTATCCATTTTGGAGAAAATGGCTTGAATTCTGGTCTTGTGTAAATGAAAACCAGAAGTACAAAACAAGTGCTGTTTAATAGAAGGCTGAATTTCTCACTGGATGGCTTGGTACCAGACTAATTGTGGCTTCCCCATGGGGAATATTTTACAAGAGTAGTCCCAGTTATGATGCCCACAGTGGACCTGATGATCCTGGGTTGCATGCCTCTGGGAGTCCTCCAAATTCCAGCTGGCTTTGGAGGCTTAGCCTGGGCATTCTGTTTTCCATGTAGGTGGCCTGTGCTTGACCCATAGTCAGACTCCTTTGTGCCCTCATGGCAGAGCATTTAGGGACAACTTGAGGAATGAGTTGTGTTGGTTTTATCTGCTTAGTATCCCCACAGTGACAGATGGGTGGTTGAGAAATCACATTTATCCATACCCATGCAAATATATCTGCAGGGCACATGCTTCTTTTGGGAATGCCAGCTGTGTTACCCTACAGCCAAGCTCAGTGGTATTCATGCATCACCTGGCTGTTTGTGACTGAAGGTTTTGTTCACAGTAAGTAAAAAGGATCAGAAATGGACAGATATGTCTTTTGCTTAGTATTGTTTTTCAGCCAAATGCAGTGAATTTCTATAGATTCAGCATTAAGCAGTGCTGTATGAATGTCTCAGTCTTACTAAAATTGTTTTTAAATAGGCTTTCATATCAGCTCTTGACTAAAAAAAATGTGGACAAATTCTTGTAGTGAAAGCTCTTTGTATTTAATGGGAGTTAGCCCAGATTAAGAGAGATAGCATCTTGCCCTCTGATACAGTAAATGTAGTCAGTATGAGATTCCTATACTTGGTTCTGTATTTATGAGCATATCTGTCTGCTTTAATTTAGGCTAGATTCTGACTTCTGTTGTTCTGTTCCTACTTTCTGAATCCTGAATAAATTCATTAGCTTTGCCCATGCTCCTGAATCATACACAATAAATATTACCTTAAAATACAAGCTAAAACTTTCTTACACGTATATTATCAGACACACTTGGGAAAAGAGAGAGCTGTAGTTACTGGTAAACTGTAGCTTGGTTTTAGTAGAAACCACCAGCCAGGAACAGTCAAATCCTATAAAACTGGAAAGACTCACTCCCCTTGTGATAGCTTCACAGAGTGAAGTTCCCCAGCCATTCTGTACAGGCAGGTGGGCTGTTTGATTAACACAGCAGAATCTTTGACCTTAAAAACTTAAACATGCTAAGGGCATTCGTGTCTCATTAAGGATAATGGGAGTTGAAAGCTTTTAGAACTCTTCAGGATTAGGTCCAAAATATGTACATCATAGCAGCAGCACAGATGTGCCAACAAGCAGGACTTACTGAGGAGTGCAATTAATGTGAAGCGAACTGTTTCCCTCCCCGCCTCCCACTCCCCAGCCTCAGGTAGTTTGTTGGCTCTGCAAATCCAGATCCCAGCCCAGTTCAAAAGAGACTATGAAAACATGGGGTGTCTTGATAAGGACAGTAGTAGCAGATTATTTTTTTTCTTTGAGAAGTGACCCAAACATATTGGTAATATTTCTGTCTGGAGAGTTTAGCTTTTCTGGCACAGAAAATTTGTTCCTGGAACGTAGCCTACTATAGACACAAAGCCATTAGCTGCTGGGTTATTACGAAGTTAATGATGAAAGACAGAAACTGTTAGTAAGATACTGAAATGTGCATTTAATTTTGATTTTTTTTTAACTTTATTTTTTTTTTTAGTGATGCTGGAAACAGTCTGACATTTCTAGCTGATCAAAAGGAAAACAAGTAACCTCAGCTATGGAGAGAAAGAGACAGCTACAGAAAAGGGAATCTGGGAAAAGACTTTCTCTGGACAGCAGTCTTGTGGTAAGAATGAAAATTTACTGAATTTACTGAATATATCTTCTGTCATTAAAATATAGTTGTTAAGAGACAATACTTATAATGATGTACATTTTAAAGATATTTATTCATCGCAGTATCACAACCTTTTGTGATTGTTAAGATTCTCCAGAGCAAAAGTGCAGGAGGAATTTTACTGCATCCTAAATAGAAACATGTCATCAGGTAGAAGCATGGCCCTGAATTCACTGGATTTACACAAGGAAGGAATCCAGACAAATATACCGAACTTGCAGTTAAAATCCTACTCAGCCTCTATGGGATCACTCTGTATTGCTCTATACTTAGCATATGAGAGCTGTAGGTAGCTGAGGTCATCTAATCGGAAATGTTTGTTTTGCTGTTGAGGATACTAGGAAAAACTTTCACTGTAGTGAATGTGCAAATTGCTCTAATGTCACCTGAAAGAGAAATGTAAATGCCAAGTGCTGTAAAATAGCTGGTTTGGATATACATAGGATTTGGATTCATTGAGATTGTATTCTGAATTTAATTTTAGTTAATATTTTCAAATGGTGACTGAGATTAACGAGGACATTTCATAGCCGTACTATGGGTGCATGACTGGAAAATGCTCATAGATGGTGGAACAGTTGTGTAAGAGGATAAACATGGCAGTGTCAAGTATTCAGCATGCTAGTTTAACAAATACTGAAACAACGAAAGCTTGGAGAGTCAGGGAAACCCATGCCATCTTTGACGTTCATAGAGGTTGTCTTCTGAGGGACAAGTTTGTTCCTGGTTGTTGATATTAGAGTTGCCTCTTTGAGTGTTTGTATGGCTAGCACTGATGCTGGGAAGTGCTGGAAACAAATGGATTTGGCATTGGTAGCTGCAAAGTCTGGGTTTAGGTTCCAGGGGTCACTAATGAACACCAGTTTGGCTCCTTACATGAAAGCCACAAAATATTAAACTTTGCCCAGTGCCACTCATAAATAACAAGTCAAATGATTCATGAAGCAATGCTTGATTAGAGGGAGAAAAGGACTGCAGCAAGGTAACAACACTAGACAACAAGCAAGCATCCCAGAATGTACCAACAGTCATTTGAAGTCCTCATTTCTGATGACTTCTTGAGCAGATATTTCTCCTCTCCTTTAACATTACTGTACACACAGGTAGTGGGACTCCAGAGCCCCGATTGCCTATTACATTGGATGGCATGTCTGTGGTAGTCCCAGTTACCTGAGCTGCTCACAGCCCACTCCAGCCAGCTGCTCCTGCCTCATCTGCACTGTGGCTTGCTGTTGAGATTTGCTTCACCAAAAAGGCTACAAAGACAACCTAGAAAATAGAAACTGTTCTGTCCCATCTCTTTGGTCTTACTTCTGTATCCCGATGCTGTAATGTGTTGCTTTAATTTGTGCTGACCGTTTGTATCAGGGAAGTGTAAGATCACTAGTCTACCTTGAATTTCACACAAATTACAATGTAATTTCCTTTATCTTATACTATACTTGTAGGGTGGTTTTGGTTTTGTATTTTGATGTCCCATCTCTCCCCCTAAAGTAAAAAGCCCACTGACATGCTAAAAGCAGTGAATATGGACTGAGCAGGTTTGTCTATCTACTGATGCCTTTCGTCTGCTGTGCTCCTTAGCAGGAGGCAGCAGAGCAGGCCCTCTCTTCCAGGTTTCTACTGTTCTGCAGATCCTTGAGGACTCTGTGCTTCTCCCTTAGGCCTAAGCTAGCATGTCTGTGCTTCTGGGGTAGTGTTAGCTGGCCAGTGAAGAAATGTGCAGATCATGTTTCAAAAGGGGTCTGTCCTCTTCCTTAGCTTTCAAATGGCACTTATAATAATGAATGACATCTCTTTATTTTGAAAAATAAAAATATTTAGAGAGAAATAATAGTAGTGAAGAGTAGCAAGTCCTCCCCCAGACTCTGAGCTGATCTTGGGACCCTAATGAGATGTTGTTTAAGTTCCCTCCTGTTCAGACCATGCAGCTCTGTGCTCTAATGGTGAGAGGTAGCTGTTTTCAGGTTGTTCAGCCTGCAACAAAAACTGCCTTCTCGACTTTCACACACTCACCAGGCCATGCACTATTAAAACTTTCAGTTGTCTTCTAGCTTGTGTGCAGACAAGGTAGGTTTAGTATGAAATCACAATTTTATCTAACACACTGAGTCAGACAAAATCCAGCTGGTTTTGAATGCTCAGTTGTGTGTTTATTCCCAGGGCCAACCTCTGCTATTAGTTCTAGGCATGCACACCACTGAAACAGACTCCAGCCTAAATCCTGCAGCTAAAATGGAGTTCTGTGTTCCAAACAATTTGCCATGAACTATCAATATTTCTCTGGCGGAAAAAAGAATGCTTACGGAAACTGGGTAAGGGAAATGCTAGCAATTGTGACTTTTTCACAAACATATTGCTCAGTGTTTAAAATCATTTTTCCCTAAATGTTTTCACTGATGCAATGGACTAGATTCAGCCTTTACTTAATGCGTTAAGATAGAAATTTTCTTTTCCCCGAAGTGACAACATGGTCTGCTGTGTGGATGGGAACAAAATGCTAAGTATTTCTGGCTTCCAGTCCCACCTACTGCTACTTTGGACTTAATTTATAGCCAAGACAGTACACTATGCTTAATTTTTTTCCCTGTGGGTGGGTAGCAGAGAGAGGCATTTGCCAGTGTCATAGGGAATATTGGGTGTGTGATGCTATCCAAAGTACTTTGTGTAATAATCATACCTACATATTAAAATGCCCACGAGGACATAATTAGAGGAGCGATAGAAACTGGCTGCATGAGACGGTGATGCTTTCTACCTGCTCTTCAGCAAGTGGTAAGTAGGGTGGGTTATTGTACGCAGCTGGAAAACAGTCTTCAGGCACTGGTTTGAAGTCAGTCAATTTATGCTAGTATGTGCCAGCAGAAGCCCTGTGGCTGATTAGCCAGTATTGTTACAAAAGTTTTGAAGAAAACCTGTGAGGGTAAGAAATATTGCAGTATTTCAATATTTTGAACATATAAACCCATCATACCATCAGGCTGACACACTCGGTTTTAAAACAATATCTTCTGCTGCACGTGGCATTTGGAGGTTATGCTTGCCTGTAGCGTTTCTTGGTGCACGCATCCTTTTTCAGTAGTTGTATACTACAGGTCAGTGTGTATCGAAGCTTTATATTGAGTAGGATATGTGTAACTAGTGTCATCCATACATTTAATTAGAAACATGTGTGCACTGATGTTTGCCGCAACCAATTATTTCACAACAAATTAGAAGAAATGTTTTGAGATTCAAGTGCCTTCAGCTGCCTGTTAGTAAGTCACACTGGATGCCTTGTGATTCCATGAAATTCAACTGGGCAGAACAAAGTACTTTGTACTCCTCTTATTTTCTCCAAATTCCTTTCCTATCGTACCTTTTCTTAATTGATGCCTTCATGTTATATGTGCGTCTTCATTACACTTGTATCCATTCCTTTACCAAACTCTATCAGAGTGCAATGTTTTAGGTGAGTGCCCTGCCTGCGCAAGTCCTTAATTCTTCTATCTCTTCCCAAAGGTTTTGTGTTTAACCTCTCAGGCATTCAGGGCTGGACACTCTGCTTGGAAAATCTGGCCTTGATTTGCTCAAGAGCACTTGTTGCTTGGTAGAGTCTTCCAGCATTATCATTTCTCATGAAGAATTCTGATTTCTGTGTGTTTAAAAGAAACTGGTTTCTACTTTTGTACTCTGGACTATGAGATACAAATAGGCGTTTCTGATAACATTCCTCACCCTGCCTGGCAGTGTTGCTTTTCCCATCTGCATCAGATTGTAGTCATCTTCTGGAATGTTTTTTTCCCCATGATTTAATCTATGAGTATTGCATAGTGAAGTTTGAAACAAAACAAAACAAACACCAAAAAATACCAACAAACCACCCCCCCAGAAAAAATTCTCTTCCTTTCTCATCTCAGACTCTGAATATATAGGGTACAATGATATTTGGTGAAAGAGGAAGAAAAGGAAAAAGTTGTTTCTGAAAGAAAAAAAGGCATGGCTTCAAATTCCTTAGAATATGGGTCTGGGCCTTAAAGATATGAACATAAATTTCATCAGTGTTTTTTATTCAGGCCTATCCCATCAAACAATGAGATTCAGGCTTTAGATGAGGAGGATCCATTTCAGAAACATCCTTCAAACAACATGCCAATGAGAAATTTCATAGGCATTAAAACATTCTTCCTTGCACCACAGACACAGTAACTACTTCTTCATCAGCTCGGGTAAAGAAAAGTTCAGTGTTCTTTCATACACTACTGTATACCCTTCCAGCCAGTGGCTTGGGGGTATAAGCTTTACAATGAGGATAAATAAACCCTTTTTTTAAAAAAAAATAAATATAAATGCACAAATATATTCATAGAATGTGCTTCACAGGACATACTTTTTGAGTGATTATGTACCTTATGAATATCTGAATTAATGCTTTACTGGAAGTTAGTAGTTTGAAGCCATGCATTTTAACAAGACTCAGAATCGTACCACTGTTAAGAAATGCCAGATAATGCAATAGAGGAATTATTGCAAATGCTGTCCAGGTCAAAGAAGAGCCTTGCTTTTCGCTTAAATGAAATTAGATCCCCGTCAGCTTTTAGTCATAATTCATAAGTTTTATTCCAGAAATATCTGGTATAGCCAAAGGCTGTTGCTGCTCTCTAGATTTCCAATACTGACAACTGGTTAGAGAGATATTTTACACCCAGATGCTCATTTACATTTGCAGGCAAAGCAGGTAAGCCTGCAGTGACAATGATGCTTTATAGCTTTATATTCAGGTGAAACAATTGCAAAATACTAACTTCCTAGCAATCCCTACAGGTAATCGTATAAAATCAGTTAAAGAAAATGTTTTTGTAATTTCAGTCTGATACTTAAAACCCAAAACATACCACCCAGGAAGGATATACTTTTTACAGTTTCAATGTAATCTTATACTACCTTTATCGTTTCATCTGTTGAACAAA